AAAAAAATAATAATAATTTATCCTAGTCCTGTCTTCATTTCTGTCTTTTACTCTCTCATACTACGAAGTCTTCTGAAGACGAGCCCTGCTGTACAGTAGGAGGTCATGTGCAACTGACTTTTGGCTCAGGTAATATCCTTGAAGATAGAGGTGGTTCTGAGTCAGCGGCCACTGCTTCTGTCTTTATGCCGTCACTGAGACAGAACTCTGGGAACTCCTTCAGGCCTCCAGGTTGGAGCTGTTTTTAGGGAGCTAACTATTTCAGCTCCTGCTTTAAGGAGCTAACACTCTGTTACTGGAGTTAAATCAGTTGTACCACTCAGGAGTTTTCTCCCTTTTTCAAAAATGGGTCAATATTTGACCATTTCCACTCAATATTTGAGTAGATTCTGATCTAAATTTTACTGTCTCTACAAATTTAATACCCAAATTGTAATTGCCCTTGACTTAGAGGTGTGAGCCTATTTAAAATAACCTGTTTGGTCCACTGGATAATTAATTTACAATATATATGTCTGTGTTAGCTTTCCATTGCTGTGACCAAATACCAGAGCAGATCAACTTAAAGCAGGAAAGGTCTGTTTTGGCTCACAGCTGGAGAAGTCTCAGTCCATGACCACATGATCCATTGCTCTTGGTGAGGAGTGTGTGGGAACAGACTGGCTCACCTTAGATGGACAGGAGGCAGGTGAGGGCAATGATGGGGACAAGGAGCACACCAGGGACCTGATTTCCACTAAGGCCCAACCTGCCCGCGACCACACTTCCTTAGAGCAACTCCACAGCTGGAAGCCAGGCCTTTAAGCAACAGGGCTTCTAGGGGACATTTCATATCCAAATTGTATATTGTCCCTTTGTAGTTTAATGGTGGCAATTTCGGGGCCAGGGAGATAGCTCAGTAGAATAAGTGCTTGCCTGGCAAGCGCAAGGGCTTGAGTTTAATCCCCGGTTCCACCGGGGGAGAAATGGCAATTTCATCTAACTCAGTAGGTGGGAATAGAAACAGAGGTTTTTGAGCTTTGATTTGAGCCCTGCAGGCACTAATGTCATGCCAGTTTTCAAGCAGTGAGCCATGAGCCTCTGCATTGCATCTCTAGCATTTTGGACATGCTCACTGTTGAGAACCCCTTTCATTCCTCTTGGCATTTGTTTACCTTTACTTGTCTTTAGGCAAGGGCCTATGATGGCTTTTTCTGTTTCATAAAAGTTTAGGGACCATGTCTGCCACTGACTCCATGAATACATCTGTCTGTTTCAAATTCCATCTCTTTCTCCTGATTAAGGAGTCAAGGATGTGAAAAGTACTTAGCACAATTCCTAGCACATAGTAATGTAATTTTTCTCTTCCGTCTCCCCTACTTGGAGGCAGTAACAAGATTCCTGCCACCTGCTAGTGCCTGTAAAGGCTGCTGAGTGTCCCTCAGGACATTTTTATGCTGTCACAATGCCAGCAGCTTAGGCTTCTGCCTTCCCCTGCTCTTTCACTGCTGCTATATTTAGGTGCAAGCCTGTCTCTGGCTCCAGGCACACATGAGACCTGCCCTTGGGATGTAGCCTTTCACTCGGGAAGTCTGCATGCCATCCCACTCCTCCATGGGGTCATTTTCTTCTCTTGCCTCCGTTTTTATCCATTCCATGCTGTGAAGCCTCCCCAACAAGGTTAGTAGGCTGCCATGTGGATGTCATGCCCTGACCAGTGAACCTCCCTTGACGGTACACCCTGGAGGAAGACAAAAGGTTGCAGAGTGCCATCTGTGGGGCATGCAGTCTGCCACTGCAGGTTTTCCCTGACACATGTTTTGGGGCCCTGAAGAATTATCAGCCATTCTTAACCATTCTAAACATTTTTCTGGAAAAATTGTGTTGGGAGTCATTCCCTGGTACTTGTGCATGTGCTGTTTTTGGCCTTTCCCTGTTCATAGGATGGTTGCTCGCTGACATCAGTTAGTACTTGTACAAGTCTCTTGGGTCTTCAGACACTCAGCACTTCTTAGTGCCTCCCTAGTGGGCCCCTGTGTATTTGAAAATACAGAATCAGTATCATCCATGAGGGGTGGTAGGAACAAATTGGATGGGGTAAAGATGTTTATACCTATTTTGTCTTCATCTTGTAAAACGCAGGTTGATGAGCCCACCCTTCCCTGGTCACATCCATCTAGAGCCAGTGAGGTGATATGTTCTACCAATGTTTCTAACTATGAACTGCAAGAGGAAATAGGTAATAACCCTGGATTTCACTAACCTTTCATTGCTAGAAATAAAATTGATGACAGAAAAAATTTTACAGGCAAGTCTTTTTCTGTTATCACCTACAGTACAGAATTGGTGGTACTATGTCCAATGGTTAAATTAATTTTATTCGTATTTAAGATAATTTGTTAAAGATTACTCTGTAGAAGTTTTACTTTTACATTGAAGTACATCTAGAGAATTAACACACTAATCTAAATACTTATTTTGGGATCAGGGAGATGGCTCAGTAGAATAAGTGCTTGCCTGGCAAGCACAAGGGCCTGAGTTCAATCCCCAGTTCCACCAAAAAAAAAAAAAAAAAAAATCAATAAATAAAAATAGAAAGATAAATACTTATTTGTAGGAAGCTTCTGGATTTATAGGTATATTTAACCCTGGATATAAATTAAAAATCTAATCATGTAAATTTTTTTTTTCCAAGGTGGGTGTCTCCCTGTATAGTCCAGTCTGGTCTTGAACACCTGGGCTCAACTGCTCCTCCCTGCTCAGCCTCCTGAGTAGCTGGGACTGGAGGCATGGTCCACCACAGGCAGATTGTATCATCTAAGTCTTTACAGTCACAGGCCTTTAACAACATTACTTCCTAATTTAAAGTATTACCTAAGATTCCATTTGTAGTGGAATTTAAGTGGCATAAGTTATTATTTATAACTCTCTATATGATATATTTGCTTTGAACATTCAGAAACATCTGTTAAACACCGCAGGCCAGGGGCTGATGGGTGCTGAGGGTTGTGACATCTCAGGGTGAGGAACACTGGATAGTAGAAGGAAGGAGGGTAGAGGTGAGTGCTGAGATTATGGGAGCAGAGAATGCAGTTTCTTCTAAGAGTCAAGAAAAATGACAGAGTCTGGTTCCTCAGTAGGAGGAATGTTTGATATATAGTCCAGTCACTTTCTTGCTACAAACAACAGAAAATTATCATGGCTAACTTAAGCACAAAAAAATCAAAAATTTTTAAAAACAAGAATTCTTAAACAGTACTGTAGACTCACAGAATTGGTTCAAGAAGAAGGCACAGAACAAACCCAGAGGATCTGAATGGGTAGGAGCCCCCTCAGTGCACCAGGCAGTCTCCTGCTGCAGACACCCCACCTCTGTGTCTCTTGTGCCTACAGCCACTTGGCCAAGCATGATGCATATGCCAGGGTCAAGGGGACCAAGGAAAATTGAGGCTCAGAGGTTTTCTAAAGTATGCCTTCTGACAGAGTCCCCAAAATCAGAATGGCAGTTCAGATGGTGCTGATCTAAAAAAGATTAAAAGTTTACCTGAGTAAATGCGTAAGGGTCATTAGTTAAAGAACATCATTGCGTTGCTCCTCTGACCGCAGGTGGGAACAAGGGGAGGTGTGGGGTGGGCCAGAGCAGGAGAAGACCCAGCAGGACATACTGGGAACCACTGGAGATCAGCCCCATCTCTTCCCCATGTCCTAAGGGTTTAGGCAGACATTTGGAACCCACCCTCTCTACACCAGGAGATGCTGTTGAGAGTGACAGTGATGATAGCAGTGTCCAGAAGGCATCAAGCACAACAATAATGTGCCTTTTCTTCCTTTACCTCCAGTTCTGCAGATGAGATTACTGAGGCTCTGAGATAGTCACATAGCCAGTGATCTGTCACCATCAGCTGGTGGACACTGCCTGGTGACAGATTGCCAAATTTAGCACAACTCTGGCAGCAGTCTGGAAGATATGGTAGATCAGTGATTCAAAAAAAAAAAAAAATCATTCTTGTTACCTGTCTTTTAGGAAATTACAATAACCATATTCTATTATAGAGCCACTGGATTAAAATCTCTGGAGAGTGACAGGCATGGTGGCACTTGCATGTAATCCCAGCACTCAGGAGGCTGAGGCAAGAGGGTCACTGCAATTTTGAGGCCAGCCTGGGCTATCAAGTGAGTTCACAGCCAGCCTAAACTGCATAGTGAAACCCTGTCTAAAAAAAAATAGAAAAGAGAGAAAACAGTAAACAGATACCATTTATAAGACAAACACAAATGAGATCAGTGGTTTCCAGAGACTGGTGATTGCTGAACATTTCATTGTTGAATTGTATCACAATTTGCTCATAATGTCACTATTTTAGCCATTATAATCAATATGTAATGGTATGGCATTGCTTTAATTTGCATTTCTGTTTGAGCATCTTCCATTTGCATATTGGCTATTTCTACACCTTATTTGGGGGAACCTCTGCCTAATTTTGTTTGTTTTGGTGAGAGGGTTCTTACTGTGTTGCCCAGGCTGGCCTTGAAATTCTATGCTCAAGCAGTCCTCCCACCTTGGCCTCCTGAGTACTAGATTACAGGTGTACCATACCACCCAATCTGTCTGTTTCTAACTGGATTGCTTGTCATCTTATAGAGTTATGAAAATTCTTCATAGAAGTCTTTTCAGGCAAAGTATTGTAAATGTATTCAGTTAAAACTTGCTTTTTCATTTTTTGAAAATTTTTTGTTTTGTTTTTGTTTTCGTTTTGTTTGTTTTGTGGTAGGTACCGGGGATTGAACTCAGGACCTTGTGCTTGTCACGGAAGCGCTTATTCCACTGAGCCAGGCATCTCTCTGGCCCCTGAAAATATTTTTTTGAAGAGCATAAGTTTTTAATTTTGATTAAGTACCCAATGTCATTTTTTTTTTTTTTTTTTTTTTTTTTTTTTTTTTTTTTGAGGTACCAGGGATTGAACTCAGGACCCTGCGCTTACCAGGCAGGCACTTATTCTACTGAACTGTCCCCTCAGCCTTGTTTTCTTCCTTGGTTGCTGACATGAGTTTTTTGTGTGATGACAGGAAGAGGTTTCGACAACCTGACCACTGTCCATCTTGCACGGCATATTCCCACAGGAACACTGGTAACTATAAAAATTACTAATCTGGAGAACCTCACAGAAGAGCGCCTGAAAGCTATACAGGTAACAATATAAAGAAAAGGATGTGTTTAATGTCTGTTTGAAGAGATTCTATCCGTAAGAATTTTCATCCCCAAATTAAAAGTTCTTTCTGTTAGAGAAAGATATTCTTTCTTCTAATTGATACATAGCTTATCAAATTAGAAAGACTGTTTGGAAGCCATATGAGCATAAACTATATGAAAGAAAAATGCATTCAAATTTTGGTAGCTGATACTAATTCCTTCAAGTGAATTTTGGATTCAATGTATTGGTCTAAAGATTCCCTCATCCCAGTCATTCCCATCACAGATAGAAAATGCAAAACACAGAAGCAGTTTCCCTTCCATCTACTTAATCAAAATTCGCTTCCAAAGTGATAAATTTTAACATAATTATATTTAAGGCATATTATAATACCATTTTATCACTATTTTAGACATAAAATTTTTAATTTTATATTGTCCTAATTTTTAGAATATTTCTGTGTGCACATATATATTGCATGGGGGGAAAGAACAGAAGAAACAATACCACTGTTTTAACAGTGGTTCTTTTTGTAATGAGTTAGAAGTGTTTTTAGTGTGATTTCAGATGGTAGAGCCAGAGCACAGTATAATTATAATATGCCCTCTGGAATCAGACTAAATTCACATCCACTTCTACTTCTCTTATGTATTTTTGAACACATTTTAAAATTTTAAATTGTGTGTTTTTTTGAGATAGGGTCTCACTGTGTAGTTCAGGTTGGCCTTAAGCTCACTATTAGCCCAGGCTGACCTAGAACTCATGGTGATCCTCCTGCCTCAGCCTCCTGAGTGCTGAGATTATAGGCATGTACCACCACATCCAGGTTAAACTTATTTTTAAGTGTTATATTCTGTTAAGTAGGGATTTCAGCATTCCTTATTTTATGCCATGGCTGTATGATTTAAAGAGATGAAAGCAATGAGAACCATGTTAGTACCACTCCAGTCCCTTGAGTAACAGCTGCCACTCTTTCTGTTGTCTTCATCATAAGGAAAAAAGGTGTTTCAAGTGGCTTTTGTGTTTGTCCTCTAGAGAGCAGTGATTCTAGCCCACTTTTTCCGGCACCCCAATATTACAACTTACTGGACAGTTTTCACTGTTGGAACCTGGCTTTGGGTTATTTCTCCATTTATGGCCTATGGTAAGAAAATTGGTTTTAAATAAGAGCTCATAGTTTAGCCTGGATACTGTCATTATAAAAATGAATGTGGTCTTAGATTTAGGGTTTTCTACTTTTAATTTATAAATCTAGTGGGAGACTTTAGGTTTCATGGCATATTTATCTGGCTTATGTTGACTATCATCTGTAGGCAAAAGGAAAATGGGTGATCAGTGAAACCACCACTCATCCTGTAAGAATTCCAAGCCTTTGCACGTGCCAGTTCCTCTCTTCATGTCCTTTCCCTGTCATCATGGGAGGCAGCTGCTGTTCTCCAGGCAAAAGCAGTTTCCTCCTGCACATGCCACCGTCACTGCTTCATGTCACTGCATGTTGACTCCGTAGATCAGAGCTGGTCACCACCACCCCAGGCCTGGCTCCTCCCAGAGGCTGCTGCAGGGCAGCTGTCCTCTCTGTGTTCTGTGGGTGACCCCAGGTGCTTATGTGATACTCAGCAATCTTTAAAACAGCTTTGTAAACTGTTACTAGATTTTAAAAAATTCACATGTGTGTACAGTATGTTTTATTTAGTAATACTGAAATTTTGTTATCATTCCTAATCTCAGAAGAGTAGTGGGAAAAAATATTTGTTTTGGTAGTTCTAGCCATCAAATGTAGACCTTCAACCATGCTAGGCAAGTGCTCTACCAATGAACTGCACCCCTAGCCTATATATGTTCTTCAAGGAAAATCACTTTTTCATGAGAAAGTGGTTAGACTCTAAAGAAGATATGTGGGCATTTATGATTGGAAAGAATACTTAAAAATGTAGGTGGAAGTAAGGTCACTTTCCTTGTCCATCTAAAATACCAGTGTTAAGACCGGGCATGGTGGTACATGCCTGTAATCCCAGTGCTGGGGAGGCTGAAACAGGAGGATCACTCCAAGTCTGAGCTGTGTAGTGAGACTCTGTATTGATTTATATATAGTCTCAGTGGTTTCTTTCAGGTTCAGCAAGTGAGCTCTTGAGGACATACTTTCCTGAAGGAATGAGTGAAACTCTAATAAGAAACATTCTCTTTGGAGCGGTGCGAGGGCTGAGCTATCTGCACCAAAATGGCTACATTCATAGGTATTTACTTATTTGCATTTCATAAAATGAAAGGTTTTCTTTCAGGGAGCTTTTAAGAAGGAGCAACTGAGTATTAGGAGGGTAAGAGATTTATAAATAGTTGAGGAAGGGGCCAGTAGATAGCAGATACAAAACTTTAACGTTCATACACTGAAGATACTCAGGCCATGTGCTCTCCCTGGGTCTGGGTGAGGAGACCCTCGCCCTGCAGGCTAAATCTTGGTCTAGTGAGGATGTAAGATCTGTGTTCAGATATCAGCTATAGGAAGAGGACCCTAGATAGTTGGGATTTTTTAAAAAATATTTTTTATTTATTTGGTACAGGTCTTACCACACAGCTCGGACTTGTAGTGATCCTCCTGTCTTAGGTTCCACATTACTGGTGTGTGCCACCACACCCAGTTTTAGTGGCTGGCATAGCACACCTGGGGTTCAGGGGCTGGCACAGATTGAGGTACCAGGGATTGAACCCAGGTTATTGTGCTTGCCAGGCAGGTGCTATCCACCAAGCTATCTCCCCAGCCTGGAATTTTTGTTTTGTTTAAGCAAAGAGTTTATGTGCTTTCCAGTACACACGCGCACGCGCGCGCGCACACACACACACACACAGAGTACAGATTGTAATTAATCTTCCTTTTATTTTTTAAATATATTGCAACACCTTTGTGGGGTTTTATTTGCTTTTGTTTTTTTTGACTCTTTGGGACAGGATTTCACTATGCAATTCAGGCTGGTCTCAAACTGGAACTCTCAGTGATCCTTCTGCCTCAGTCTCCCCAGGGCTTGGGTTTCAGGCATTCACCACCACATCCAGAAACACACTACTATTTTGTAAGGGATATTAATTTCCAAGTGAATACATGAGTTGATTATGACCAGACTTCTATTTTGTCTTCATTGGCCATATTCCTAGTACTTAGGATTGTTTCTTTCTATTCTAGGAGTTTTAAAGCCAGCCATATCCTCCTTTCTGGTGATGGCCTGGTGACCCTCTCTGGCCTGTCCCATCTGCATAGTCTGGTTAAGCATGGACAGAGACATAGGGCTGTGTTTGAGTTCCCACAGTTCAGCACATCAGTGCAGCCGTGGCTGAGTCCAGAACTGCTGAGACAGGTCAGGTGTGGCCCTCGGGCTGTCTGTGTGTCTTGAGTGTCTTCTGAGTTTGACTAAAGGACAGTTGCAGTCTTACATGTGGATGTAAATGGCCTACTGTAAGACTTCTTGTCAAAGTTATATTAGAAATTAAATTGTAAAACACATATTAGGTAGATCTTGATTATGGTTCCCCCCACTATCATTTGCTGTCCTTTATCGAAAGAGCATGTATGTAACATCTTGTTAAATTATTTGCTCTAAAGAACTTGAAATAATTGTTCTCTATAGGATTTACATGGATATAATGTGAAGTCGGATATCTATAGTGTTGGGATTACAGCATGTGAATTAGCCAGTGGGCAGGTACCTTTTCAGGACATTCACAGAACTCAGGTAAATGCTTCTAAAATCCATGAACTACTTGCCTTTTATATGTCCTCTTATATTCTAGGCAACTTCTGATAAACCTGTTTATGTAGACTCTTAGGTACTTACTATCATTATTGTTTAATACTTTGTCTGCAAGGGTTGAAGGAGATTTTTCTCTTAGATGTTGTTACAGAAGCTGAAAGGTCCTCCCTATAGCCCAGGGGACCTCAGTATTCGTCCTCAGTCAGACTCCAGAATGAAGTCTTCCCGGTCAGGTGTGGACTCTGGGATTGGAGGAAGTGTGCTGGTCTCCAGTGCAGCTCACACCTTCAACAGTGACCGACTGCACACACCACCCTCAAAAACCTTCTCTCCCGCCTTCTTCAGCTTGGTGCAGCTCTGTCTGCAGCAAGATCCTGAGAAGAGGTATTTATCACCTCTGAACAGCACAAAACATAAAGAGTTTATATTTTATAGAAGCCTTATGAGACCACTCTTACTGTAAAATTCTACCTCTTGTAGTCTTTTCACCAAAAAATTAGTCTGATCTAGAAAATGTCAATGCTAGGGAACAAATCGAGCTGATAAGTGGGAAGAACCCTGGGTTTGAAATCACAAGTTTGCTCCAGTCCTTGGCTGCACCATTTCCAAGCCAAGTCAACTTGTAAAAATTACTCTTTCCGTATTTGTGTCAAGACGTTTTAGAAACTCCTACACAGCATAAAAATGTAAATTGCCTCTATTATACTAATATAAATTATTACTATAGATAACTATGTTAGCATCAGTATTTTGAAAAGAAGGTATGTGTATCTTACCTCCCCCCCTTTTTTTTAGCTCCTTAGTGGCTGGCATCATCCCTTCTTAAATAGATAAGATACAAATATCTTCTTTACAATAAATGTCGAATATGGAGCAATTGAAGGATATATCTAGAATTAATTTGTCCTGTAAATCAAGCCTGGAGCTAAGAAATGGGCTTGACATACCTTTCTTTTTAATTTCTTAGTTTTGAGTTTTATAGCTGTAGACCTGATTTCTAATAATTATATGACTAAGCCTAATTACAGTATGTTTATTGTTTAATAATTCTTTTAAAATTGCAGACCATCTGCAAGCAGTTTATTGTCTCATATATTCTTCAAGCAGGTAAGTGGATCTATTATCAAGATGTTTTCAAAAGCCATCAAAGTCATTTTACCAACTCAATGGAATGCCTCACTTACCAAGAGTCCTACTAATAGCTTTCTTACAAAATAAAAGCAAAAAAAAGCTCTTTTGTTAGTTCAATTATAGATTTTCTGAAATATTTCCATTCTTCAAAATGAGTAAAAAATAAATGTGTCACCATGTGATAATGCTGTGTATAGTTTATGCTTTGTGTATATTTTGATGATTTAGAGACACTTTCTAGATTGGGTCTAGAAATGATGACAGGTCAAAATAATTTTGGTAAAAATCACTTTGACCTCTAATTCTGTTTTCAGATGATGGGAAAATATGTAAACCAATTTTGTTGAAAATTTTAAACACAAATTATTTGCTTCCTTCCTTCCCCTCTTCCCCCCCCCTTTTTTTTTTAACCTTTTTGAGAGACTCCTGTCTATCCAGGCTGGACAGTCCTCCTGTCTTATCCTGCCGAGTAGCTGAGATGACAGGCCTATGTCACCACACCAAGGCTTAAAATAATTCATTTAATTTTTACTGTTTTCTTTTTTGGTACTGGGAATTGAACTCTGGGCCTCACACTTGCTAGGCAGGCACTGCACCACTGAGCTACATTCCTGGCCCAAAATGATTTATTTAAAAATGATTTATGGCTAATAAAACCGATATGTTGAATTGATATAACAGCCTTTTTTTTTTTTTTTTTTTTTAAAAAAAAAACAGATAAGGGAAGAAAGCCAGGACTCCATCCTTTTGCATTTGCCTCCTGCCTGTACCAAGCCATCAGAAGCAATGCCGTCCATGCTCTGGACAGAGCCTGAGTGTGATTTTCCTGAGGAGCAGGGCCCAGCCTGGGAGTTCTAGGGCTGCCGTAGCATTTTGTGTCCTGTATACTTGACACCTTCTTCTCGCTGCTTTTTCTCCTGTATTTCTAGGTATAAATGCAGAATTATACTTGAAAACACAGTTGGTGCACTGGAGAAGCTATTCTTAGACCACTCTGCTCACAGAGGCACCAACTTACAGCCCTCGGCTTAGACTGTGAGCTCTCAGAACTCCAGGGAACGTCAGCATTACCAGCCTAGCTATAGTTAATTGAGGTTCTTGGACCTTTGAATCTCTTCTTGAACTTTTCCAAGCTGTGACTACTTTTCTTAGCATAATTTTTGAGCCAGGTAATCTTTTGATGTTCTGCTGTCTTCTTGGAGTGAATGATTTCTCCAAGAACAGTTCTTTCAAGGACATCATTGTCTTCCAGAGCCTCAGGCCTTTGTGATCAGCTGCTGTTAGACCCACCGGCACCAAACCCCTTCATGGAGAAAGGAAAATGTTTAGACTCCCATTTTCTGTTAATGTGGATGGTAACATCAAACTGAGCCTCATTAAATGAGTCACTTGAAATACCTAGGAAAGATACCATTTGCTTTTTTTTAAGGGGGTAAAACTAATAATTTTCTGTGTAAATTATCAATCCTAAACATGCCCTGTAGGAGCGCAATAAAAGACCTACTGAATGAATTGATGCTTGTATTTTTTGTGTCTTTGACAAAACTACAACACAGATTCTAATTTGTTTTGCAAAAAAAGGTCCTTTGCACAATTTTATTTACATAATTAAGAAATAGGATATTTGATTCAGTGGAGGCGGACGGCAGACCTGCCCTTCCATGTGATCACTGTTCTGTATACATTTAAGGGCTTCAACCTCTTTAGTTTCCTTAGCTGCAAGAGAAAGCTTTGTCTCAAAAAATGTTTGTAGTTTTAGCTGTGATAAATTATAGCCTATGTCAGTTGACTTTCCTAATCCATACAGTCTTATTTGCTGGTCTCAAACTTATGGTGATCCTCCTGTCTTGGCCTCCCAAGTGCTGGGATTATAGGGACATGCCACCTTTCCTGCCTGTAATCTGTACCATCTTATATTAATTAAAAGTTTTGGGTGTTGTTTTTTTTAGATGTTTTGTTGGTTTTTTTCCTTTTTTAAACAGGGTTTAGCTATGCAATTCAGGCTGGTCTTGAACTCACAGTGATCCTCCTGCCTAGATGTGAGCCACCACACCTGGCTAGAAGTTGTTTTTAAATGATTAAGAAACTAGAACCAAAAAAAGTAATATGTAATTTGAAACAACCCTTTTGTATGTCTACTGGCCAGGGTCCCCCAGCAAATGTGGAGCTTACTGTATCTGTACAGCTGCCAAGACCTGCCATAGCGAAGCTAAAGTGAGGGAATGTAAAGCAGTCTGTACTGGACTGGCCTGATGTGTTCTACCTGTATGTGACTTAACCTGTAGTTTACAGTAACTCAGGAAAAGAAATAGGTTAAAGGGGCTGGGGAGATGGCTCAGTAGAATAAACCCTTGCCTGGCAAGCACAAGGGGCTGAGTTCAATCCCTGGTTCTGCCAAAACAATACAGTAACTCAGTGGCAATTATTAGAAATGTATAATAAACATTGCATGTGTATTTAATGTGGAATATCATGCTAACAGTCTGATAACCTTTACTTTGGAAATCCATGGGGGAGCCTGCCCCTTAGCTCAGTTCTTTAAGTGGCTGCTTCAGCAAAGCAGTCAGGCTCAGGTTGCTGTAGTTCAATCCCCACAACTCAAGCCAGCCAAACCTGCCCTCAAGGCATTTGGAGAAAAAAAAAAATCCTTCTGCCTTTAAAAAAAAAGAAATCTATTTTAAATGTGCATCTCAGTACAAAATAATTTGAAAATTGTAAAAACTGCAGTTTCCATCCATCATGCAAGTTATGGTTCATGGAATTATTAACTAAAGATATTTTCTAATCTTCCTTTTCTTTGCCAAGTTCCAGAGAAGTGACATTTTACTCTCTAAGGTCTCTAGTGGAGGCTCAGAAATCTACATTTTAACAAGCTTTCCAGAAGCTTAGGTACAGATGATCCGAGAACGAAAACACTGGTCAGGATCAAATTCTACTATAAATATTACGCTTAACTTGTAGGTTTTGTCATTGTACATACTCTCAGTGAATAATAAAGAGCCAGCTACTTTTATCCAGGGAAAGTTTTTTGCATAAAAAGAGATCCTTTTTAAAAAACTGAAATAACCAAGCCCAATTATTTAATGACATGGCAAATACCTCTCATGACCTAGATTTCCAACCTCATCTCTCCTGCAACTTTTGTGATTTTTTCCCCCTAATAATATCCTACTTCTGTTTTCTAACATGTACTCAAGTTATCCTATCAATGCTTCAAGAGTTTGATAAATTCTTGGAACTAAAGTGTCTTAAAGATCAAGCAATTCGGCCAGCCAAATAGCTCAGTGGACTAAAGTGCCTACTTAGGCAGACACAGAGGTTTGATCCCCAGCCTACTGGCTGGCCCTGCCCCCAGGGCATGCTGAGACAGCGATTGAGACTGGGAATGGTGTGCACCTGTAACCCCAGTGCTTGGGAAGCTGAAAACAGGAGAATCACTACAAATCCAGTCTGTGTAGTGAGACCCTGTAGACCTTGTGCTAAATTAAAAAAAAAAAAGATAAAGCAATTCAACTGTTTTACACAAAGGACCTCACTGTTCTGTATATCATTTGTTTCATGCTAAACAATTTTATTTGTATTATACCTTAAGGATCAGTAGATGTAAAATGTCTTAATCTGTAAGATTAATAAAAGGTTAATTTCCATTTTATTGTCCTTTCCTATGCTGAGTTGCAGTTGCACTAAATACTCTGGAAACTCTAGTTTCAAGAGGCTACTAATCCACTTTTCAAACACAGTCCAGATTTGCTGCTACAGAGTGATATGGAAGAACCTCAGGGATACAGGATCTCAGGATAAATCCTGAGGGGATTTCACTGACCTTCTCAGACCCAAGAGCTACAACTCTTGTTGCATAGGTCCTGCTTTACCTTTGTCTTAACCATCCAGTAGAAAAGTATGAAGACGAAATATAGGAAGTAAAGCCATGCTATTATGTTGAGCTGTGGGGGACTCAGGTCAACAATTTCTGACATTGCCAGTTAAACAGAAGACCCAATGCTATTATGGGCTACTGGACTCTTTTAGAATATTTTGCTGAGTTTACACACCTATAATATTCAAATAACGGAACTTAAAAAAAAAAGGGTATACAGATGAATGTCCATTTTGTATCTGTGTATTCAAAGTGGTTAGGATAGATATATAGTTACATTCTCTTAATGAACAGAATGATTTGTTCTAATGGTGTTTGTAAATAGGATCTCAAGTCCACATCTTGTACAGCAATTAACCACTAAGAAGAATATATGCAGTGTGTTAGTTATTGAAACTGTCGTCCTGATTTGATTTGAAACTGTCTCATTGCTATCTGTTTATCAATAAAATTATGAAAAAAAAAAAGAACCTCAGGGATGAAAACCAAGATGCTGGCTGGGAGTTTGCTGTGAACTTAGGATTCAGGCCAGAGGAAAGACACAGGACCAAGGAACTTTAGAAAGCATTTAGCTTTATCACACTAGCAGGCTGATGGAATCTCAGTTCCAAATCATCAACACCATTTTTAGGTTACCAATCATTTATATAGGTTTTCAGAAAGTACGAAATGGCAGGTAATGTTCTCTAGTTGGTTACACATGTCTTGGGCACTAATGGTAGGCAGAATTTGCTCTTACAGGAACTAATAAGGTTACAACCCTATACCTTGGAGGAAGAATCAATCACTGAGCCTGGGCAGCAAAGTCCTTGAGGAAACAGCTCTGGCTCTCAAAAGTACACAGAACACTACTGTCTGGTTGAGCTGCACTTAGCTCACAGATGGCTCCAGAAGGGTCACGGCTCCTTAAGTTTTGCAGCTAATTGTGAGAACTGACTGTGCTTCCCAGTCTCATCCTTAAACAGTCTTAGAAATATACGGGTGTTAAAAAGATAAGGTTTAAATTTGTTATTACATTTAAAATAGCGTCTGCATCTGGAGCGTCCCCCTCCAGCCCTAGAAATGAGTCTTGCTCCTGGAGTGCCTCTGCCCTGCAGTAGGGGGCGCTGCAGATCTCATTGGTTCTGAAAAGGCGCCTTCGAGGGCCCTGGCTTGTTCTTCCCTTCAGCCCAGGCGCCTGACTTTTCCTGAATGGGTGGCAGAAGAGAACAGCCCTGGCTGCTACAATCACTCTTTAAGCCCCGCCAGGTGCAGGGCACGTGTACAGCCCTGGACCTGCAGGGCTCCTCCTGCCCTTTCCTAGGCAAAGGTGCAGGAGCCCAGTGACAGGCATATTGCACAAGTGCATGCACGTAACTTGCGACCTTCCCACCACCTACAACCCACATGACCACAGCTGTCATGTGCCCTGTGTGAATGCTCATGGCTGTGGGGCGAGATAGCTGTGGTTCCACTTGCAAACACACGCCTGGTTTTTCAGCTCCTTTAACAGGAAGTGAGGGCAGCTGGTATGCAGCCAGCCTTCTGCCCAGTCACTGAACACCTTAATTCAGTGTCTTACCCACCCCGAGCCCTTTGTCCCTGTTGTCCCATCCTCCGTGTGGCCTGTCTGTCACAGTCCATTGCGTTGTTTTCGCCCAATACCATAGAGGCAACACGAAGTAGCAATATACTCACCCCAGCCTCCGGCACGCTCATCTCAGGATGCAGTGGGTCCTATGCACAAAACTCTAAGAACCCTAACCCAGTACCTAAACCTGCTTTGCTTCGGACACTGCCCACACAGAGACTGCACAGGTGTGCTCAGGCTGCCCAGTCTGTTGTCATCCTGGCTCCCACTGCCCTCGTGTTACTATTATGCATAAATAAAACTAGAGATTTTTCACCAGCCATAATTTTTACATTTAATATAGATGCTACTAACCTCCAAAGTGTACTTTCACAGCAGAAATCCTCAATAAAAAGAGAATGCAGCAAATTATCAAGATTATACATCATGACCAAGTGGGATTCATTCCAGGAATGCAGGGGATGGTTCAATATATTCAAATCCATAAATGTAATAAACAACAGAGCCAAAGACAAAAACCATATGATCATCTCAATAGACACAGAAAAAAGTCCAATACTCATTCATGATAAAAACCCTACAGAAAATCAGAACAGATGGTCTTTACCTCAACTTGATAAAAGCCATCTATGAGAAACCAACAACCAATATCATACTAAATGGACAAAAACTGAAAGCCTTCATTTTTAATTTTTTTTAAAATGCATTTGAAGGGGCCTGCCCCTAGCTCAGTTCTTTAAGCGGCTGCTTCAGCAAAGCTTTCAGCCTCAGGTTGCAGTAGTTGGATCCCCACAACACTGCAGCCAGCCAAACCACCCCTCAGGGCATTCGGAGAAAAAAAAAAAATCCTTAAATGCATTTGATTGTTACTGGGTCTTACTACCCAGCTCGACCTCATAGTGATCCTCCTGTTTTCAGCCTCCTTGGTGCTGGGATTACATGTACATGCCACTAGGATGAGACTCTGTGTCTGGCTCAGCCCGCCCTGAGGGTGGGACTGGTGTGGCATGTGGTGCCAGGGATCCAACCATGGTCCTTGTGCTCGCCTAAGCTTACCTAAGTAGGCACTTTAATCCACTGAGCTACCTCACTAGCCCAAAGCCTTCATTTTAAAATCAGGAACAAGACAAGGATGTCCACTGTCACCACTCCTATTCAATACGGTTCTGGAAACATTAGCCAGAGCAATTAAACAAGAGAGAGAAATGAAAGAAATAATGACTAGAAAGGAAGACGTGAAATTATCATTATTTGCAGATGACATGATATGCTACATAGAAGACACCAAAAACCCCAACAGAAGACTTACCAAATTCAGTAGCATAGCTAGATACAAAGTCAACACTCAAAAATCAATAGCACTTTTATATGCAAAGAACACGCCAAGAGAGAAATTAAGGAAACCACAACCTTCACAATAACTTCCAAAAAAAAAAGAACTTAGGAATAAATTTCACAAAGTGAAAGATTTACACAGTAAAAATTACAGTACTCTTGAAAAGAGATCAAAGAGGATTTCACATAATGGAAAGATATTTCTTGCTCCTGGATAGGAAGAACCAACACTGTAAAAATGGCCATACTGGAGCAGTGTGAAGAAAAGTGCCAGGGCAGCCCAAAGCTAGGCATGGCTGCATCTCATGTCTAGCGCCTGCCTCCCGCCGCCGCCACCATGCCTGAGAAAGGCTGAAGGGGATGATAAACGAGACACAGCCAAGGTGAAGGATGAACCACAGAGAGCTGCAAGGTTGTCTGCTTTACCAGCTCCTCCAAAGCCCAAGCCCAAGCCCAAGCCCAAAAAGGCCCCTGCAAAGGGAGAGAAAGTACCCAAACGGAAAAACTGATGGCAAGGATGGGAATAATCCTACAGAAAATCGAGATGTCAAAACAGAACATACTGAGACTGCAAGAGAGGGGGATGGAGATGGCCCAAGTGCTATGTATACCTGTCCTAAAGGGTAGTAGCTTGCTTTCAATATAAGGGAAGAGGCTTGTTCTCCCCTTTTGCTTTTGCTGCCTCTGCCACCTTGAACTGTTGCCCCAGTACCATGCCACCTTGCCTTGGGGCTTGTTGATTATAGACTGAGAATTTCACAAACCATGAGCTAAATAAACCTTTTCTTCCTTAATTTGGGGAGTCAGGTGTTTTGTCTCAGCAATGAGAGAAAAGTAAACAACACAGTAGCTCAGGCCCACCTTGATCTTAAGGTGATTCTTCTCCCTCAATCTTGTGAGTGCTCAGATTACAGGCATGTGCTACCACACCCAGCTTTTTCAAAAGTTTTAAAAGAATATACTAAGAAAAATCAAATGATTCTTTTTTTCTTTTGCTAGTACTGGGGATTACAAGGACTGGACTGAACTCAGGGCCTCCCACAAACCTGAGTTACTTCCCCAGCACTTTTTGCTTTTTGAGACTGGGTCTCGGTAAATCACTAAATTGACAAGCCTGGCCTCCAACCTCAGACCCTCTGGCCTCAGCCTTTCAGAGCTCTGGCATTACAGACATGCACTGCCATGTCTAGCCAAGTAATGCGAAACATTTAACAATTATGTCTACACTGACCAAATTGTGGATATGCTGCCTTTCCACATTTTTGATAATTTCCAAATAAAAAGCCCTCAGAGCTCATTTGCCTGTATATCCTTTTATTGGGCTCCATTTCCACCAGTAGAAATTCCATTCATCCTATTAAAGCACCTACTCACACCCCACACACAACTTCCCTACATATTTCCATTCCTATTCCTCTCTGTAGCTAATTAGCTTCTAAACCTCTAGAAAGTAGGTATTATGTTTTATTTATTTTTTAAGTTTTGTGCTCCGCAAAGCTTGGCCTCATTCTGAGACTAAGATTCAACAGCTCTGATATTCTCAAGTTAGCAATTTGCCTAGAGCTAGTCCTTAGGACTTTACTCCTTGCCTCCTAGAGACATTCATTTGCAGCTAACTTTTCATGCTTCTCAATCATCATGGCCAAATGAGTCTCTGACAGACACCATTGGTTTGTCCCTGATGAAGGATATGTGCAAGTTCACCTTCAGTATTAGGTTTGCTGGACTCAGCAGGGGATATGAACCTTGGGCCATATTTTCCTCATCCAAAAGAATTCAAAGGGAACTAGGCCCATGAAAGTATCAGTGTAGCCACCTTCCCTAACTACATTCAATAATAACTCTAGGACTCTTTATTCTTTAAAATGTAGAAGTAGGTCAATGCACTGCAGTCTCTCCCGCTTGTCGCCTGCCCCACCATGCCATGGACACCCCGAAGCAAGTGGTCAACTTGCTTCGGGGTGCCACACTTGGTGTTACTGGAGTTGCAAAAAGCATTATTAGACTACAAAGGAGTTGGTATTAGCGTTCTTGAAATGAGTCACAGGTCATCAGATTTTGGCCAGATTATTGGGAACACAGAATCTCGTGCAAGACTTGTTAACTGTGCCAGACAACTACAAAGGGATTGTTATGCAAGGTGGTGGGTGTGGCCAGTTCACTGCTGTCCCCCTAAACCTGACTGGCCTGAAAGCTGGAAGGTGTACAGACTACATGGTAACAGGATCGTGGTCGGCTAAGGCTGCAGAAGAAGCTAAGAAGTTTGGGACTATAAATGTCATCCACCCTAAACTTGGGAGTTACACCAAAATTCCAGATCCAGGCACTTGAACCCTCAACCCAGAAGCCTCCTATGTGTATTTCTGTGCAAATGAGACTGTGCAGGGTGTGGAGTCTGACTTCATCCCTGATGTCAAGGGAGCAGTACTCGTCTGTGACATGTCCTCCAACTTCCTGTCCACACCGATGGATGTTTCCAAGTTTGGTGTGATTTTTGCTAGTGCCCAGAACGTCGGCTGTGCTGGGGTCATGGTGATTGCCCGAGAGGACCTGTGGGGGTCTGCCCTCAGGGAGTGCCCCTCAGTGCTGGAGCACAAAGTGCAGGCTGCAGACAACTCACTGTACAACACCCCTCCATGTTTCAGCATCTATGTCATGGGCCCAGTCTTGCAGTGGATTAAGATCAAGGGCAGGGCAGCAGGCATAGAGAAGCTCAGCTCCATCAAATCCAGGATGATTTGTGACATTACTGATCAATCTCGAGGGTTCTGTGTGTCCCATGGAGCCACAGAATAGAAGCATCTATGTCATATGCCTGGTCTTGGAGTGGATTAAGATCAAGGGTGCGACAGCAGGCATGGAGCTCAGCTCCATCAAATCCAAGATGATTTGTGACATTACTGATCAATCTCGAGGGTTCTGTGTGTCCCACGGAGCCACAGAATAGAAGCAGGATGGACACTCCCTTTCGCATGGGCAGCGCCAAAGGGGATGATGTGCTGGAGAAAGGATTCCTGGAGAAAGCACTTGAGCTCAGTATGATCTGGAAAGGACACAGGTCTGGGGGAGGCACCTGGGTTTCTCTGTATAATGCCGTCACAGTTGAAGATGCTAAGAAGCTGGCTGCCTTCATGGAAAATTTTTTGGAAATGCATCAACTGTGAATACATCCTAATCATCTGCCTGCTGCCCTTGAGTGACAAAGTTTAGAGTAACTTGGGAAATGGCTGCATAAACATGAAAGACATGGTATTTTTTTTTTTTTCAAATGAACATGGTTATTGCAGATTCTTCAGTTTGCAAAGATTATAGCAAAACTTTCAGAGTTCTGCAAAGCTGATGAGACCACCAGCTAAAGGCCAACTTACTCCTGATTCAAACTGGAGGCATTTTTAAAAATCTTCCTGTTGCTTTTCTAACAATTTCCAGTCTAATTTTGTCTTTGTTGCTGCTTTTCTTAGGTAAACGTTAGTATTATAACTTGCCTGGGACTTACTTGTGTCTGTGGCCATTATCTGTGGAGTCACACAAGCATAGCACCAGTTTGAGGGGGAGTTGTAACTGAATCAAGCCAGCGGTGGGGTCTGGCTCCCAGGGTGAAGGTTGGTGTTGGCAGTGGTGAGGGTTTTGGAATTCCAGGCAAAAAAGGTGGATAAGGATATCTGTATTGTTATCTTTATAAAGAGATAAAGTGACTTACTATGTAAATGGTTATATACTAAGTTCTTTTTTTACTACATGTAGTTTATATCTGTGCTGTTATATTTCAAATAAAATGGTTCTTTGTGATACCTGTAAAAAAAATGTAGAAGCAAATATTGCAGCTTACACAATACACATTTGCCATTACAATTCTGTATGTCAAGCTGAATCCATATATCAATGGGCCAAAGCAAGGTTCTCACAGAGCTGCATCCCATTCTGGAGGTACTGCAGAAGAATTAGCTCCCTTGCTTACTTGGAACATGGGTAGAATTCAATTCCTTGCAGTCACGGGACTGAGAGAACTGTTTCTGCTTCTCTGCTGGCCGTTCGCCAAGAGTCTTTCTCAGCTTCTAGAGCTCGCCCACATCCTTGGTTTATTGCACCCTCCATCTTAAAGTCAGTACCATCACAACCTTCTGACACAGCTTTCTCTGCCCACAGATATGGAAGGTTCTGCTTCTGAGGTTCGCAAGATTACACCAGCACACCTCGGTAATATGCAGAATACTCTCACTTTAAGATTCAAACTTTTTTTTTTGTGGAACTGGGTACTGAACTCAGGCCCTTGAGCTTGGCAGGGAAGCACTTACTCCACTGAGCTATCTCCCCGGCCCCAAGGTTCAAACTCTTAATCACATTTGTATCTTTTTTGCTGTGTAAGGCAGTATATTCCTATTTCAGGGATTAGGACCTATTTGGTAGACACTGAACAGCTCCCACAATCCCCCACACTGGTGGCAGCATTCCAATACTGTTCCTTGATGACACTGTTCCTGTGCAGCAAGTTCAGGTCTGATGAGCATGGCTTCTCTGCAACATGCAGATGGGGAGGATTATGAACTTCCCCAACAGTGTGCTGTCATATGTGAACCTCTGGTGACTACAGTGAAAACCAGAACTGGCAGGATGACTTCAGAATTGCTAGTGGATTCAGTTCTGACAGAAGAAGTAACCTCTATTCAACAGCTCCAGCCTTAGAGAGAAAAAAAGACATTCCCAAAATGTGCTTGCACCAAATCTAAACTTAACTCAGGGTACCTGTTCTACCATCAACTTGTCCGTCCTCCTTGTTCTACAACATCCAGGCCTCACAGTTCTACTGATTAGGTCCACAGCCTTTGAGTGACTCCTTCCTCAGCATGTCTTGCCATTGTTCTGAGCTGTCGGGTTTCAGAGTTGCCAGCTGACAAAACACAGGATATAGCTCTGAAGACAGCTTTTCCAGTGCCACACCTCAGGAGCAGGGTTTCTGCCCTGCCAAAGATCTTTCTGACCAACAGTAAGGAAAGAGGTTTTTGGCTCACATTTCCTCTTACTCAAACAAAGCAGCCAATCAGAAGAGAGCTCTGAAGAGACCCATCAGGGGCTTCCACCTGGTTCCGTCACTCCTGCTACACATTTATAAGTTATGTCCCTGAATGTTTCTGATGTGCACACAGATGAGGAGCCCTGCTATAGATTTTGGAGAGAAATAAAACTTTCAAGTCATAAAAACCTTCAAACTAAAGATCAATTTGTTTCATTAGCCATAAAGTAATACACATCTTAAAACTACATGATAATTATCATATGACACAGAACTACTAAGTTGGATTCAGAAAAGACAAATTTTATAGTTCAATTTATTCAGCAAGGAAATAACAGAACAATGAAGTTATTTTTTTCTTTTTTACCTTCTATTCTCTAAATTTGTAATTAAATTTGGCATATACTGTGTGACACTGAAATGAGGAATTTTTTTGAATTAAGTCTTTTTAAGATACTAATTATGAAAACAACAATTAGGGAGAGCAGGAAATAAACACTTTTATCTGCTGGTTTCTACATCATTCTCTCTTTTATCATTAATATCCTAAGGCCGAAGAAATTAATGTTTTCACGTAAATTAAAGATTGAATTTTAACATTCTTCTATAATCTTGAGAAATTTTTCAGGATTAATCAATTGTGTACATATATATACACACACATATCTTATAAAATGCTTTTTTTTGAAAAGTGAGAAAAATACTGGGTCATTACTCCTCTGCAGATGAGTTGATACTACGAAGAGGCTTTGATGCCTTTATCAGGGTACTCTTCCACATCACAGAAAAACATTAATTCTGGAGAAGAAAATGAACAGATCATACTTAAAATTGCTTCCTAGTGCCTCAAAGAGTTTTACAGCTTAGTTAGGAATGGTCTCTTGAAATACTGACACACTACACAACAACAGAAAACCCTCAAATACAAGCATGAATTCTTGACAGTTAAACCTGACTTAAAGGCTGTGCACATAACAAATGTACATATTCTACAAGTTAAAATATTCAAGCTTTAAAGGTATTATTACAAACCCTGAAAAATAAAACATGCAATGGAGAAAATTTCCAGGAAATTTAAGACACTCAGAGAACCTGAGATTACTGAACAGCTACAAGGTCCATTTCTATAGTGAAAAATAATCTGAAATGTTGGGGACAGACACAGAAGAAGGACATGAAAGTACCAGTAGGTGTGTACTAGGTTATCATGAATGTGTAATCTCATTACTCATGGAAACAATCCTACAGGGTAGACATTATCCTCATATTTACTTCATGTTCATTAACATTTTTGAATGACAAGAAGTCATGTGACTCACCAAGCCCTAGGAGAGCAGGTTTCTGGAACTGTTTAGCAGGTGACAGACTGATTTAGACTGAAGGCTGCAGAAGCCAGTCAATGTGATTTCAGGCCCAACCACAGCACAGAATGTTATTACTTGACATTTTTTATCAGTAAACTATTATTTAGCACAGACAATGCAATTTACTGAAATGCCAAGAAATATAGCAAAAGAAGATTTTAAGGATCTAGTAATAAAGTCTTCTGATATAGGTAATTAGATGAAAAATTCAGTAAATAACTGAAAATTAGACCAAGTGAGAGAAAAACACCAAATAGATAAAGCCTAAGATTAAATAAAATACTTTAAAATCATAATCAAAGTCCAGAAAATATCCCTAAGAAAGATTCCAAGCTGAAAGTGTCTACCACTGTGGAGGAAACACAATGTCCTGGACAGACACGGCCCTGCCAAGGCACTGAAGGCAGACCACACACTACCGACAGGACTCTTCCCAGGTGCCCCAGGGGCCAGTGCATCCTGCTGGGTACTGGACATGTGAGGGTTGGAACTAAACGCTTCTAGTAACTAATAATCTCTGGAGAGTTAAGCATTTGTGTCAAGTAGAGGAGAAAAGAAGAATTCACTTGAGTATGCGTTGGGCAGACAGACTACACAAATTAAGCATGATTTATTTCAAAATTAAGATACTTAAAGCAGAAGATGATGGAGACTGGTGAAGAACAGGCTTTGTCTGCACGACCTAAAGGTTTAAGGACAAGAGACTCCTTAGTCAATATCCAGATCTGGCTTTTTAGGACCCCTGCTTCTGCCATTTGGTGGTATCACCTTATTTTCATTCTTTCTTCTGAAGTTGTATTTTATATACACCTTTTCTTTTTTTTTTTGAGGCAGGGCCTCACTGTGTAATCTAGGCTGGTCCTGAATGTACTATGTTGCACAGGTTGGCCTTGAACTCACTGAGATGTTTCTGCCTCAGCCTCCTCAGTGTTGGGGTTACAGATGTATACCATCATGCCTGGCTTGTTGTTGAGATATTATAAGAGAATTTATAAAATCATTAGAGAATATTCAGGATGCTCTTACAGTATTTTTCTTTAATACCTTCACTAAGATCCATGCCTGGCCTATAAGATAAAAATAGCCAAGACAATCCCACTAGAAGAGCCACCACCAAATTCACCACAATCCATGGCTGCAGAATCTGTTCCTCGATTCCTGCTGCCCTAGAGGTACAGAAATGGTCGTTAGAAATATCATTTTAGTTCATATATCAAAATACATCTATTTTATGAACTTAAAAAAATAGTCCTAGGGGGCCGGGAAGATGGCTCAGTGGAATAAGCGCTTCCTGGGCAAGCGCAAGGGCCTGAGTTCAATCCCCGGTTCCGCAAAAAAAAAAAAAAATAGTCTTAGAGAAACAACAAGTACAAAATAAAACATAATTTTCCAGGAGAAAAGAAGTATTACTTGAACTCTAAATAGATATGCTCTGCAAATTACCATAAATGGACAGTTAGTATTCCCAAAAAGATTTCCTAAGTTTCCCTTCTTCAATTAAGCATCTTTCCTTTATTTCTTAACTTATTCACTAGCCACTCACAAAACAAAAGACAGAAGCCCCAGCTCCCTGTCTGAATTTTCCCTGAACCTCAACTGCCCCGCAGCTTCCTGCCTGGCCACCACACAGCATACATGGCTTTCTCCGCCCACCCTCCCAGCACCACATGGCTCTGCCTCTGACCAGCCCCTTCCCCTACTGTCTCAACTGGGGCTACAGAGGGGGCAGTTCTGCAACACTGAATTTGTGAAAAGAAGACAATCTGTTAAATAGTGCAGGAATACAAAGTAATAGTTCCTCAAGCAAAGCAAATAGAAAATATTTTTAGAATTTAAACAGGACCTGAGGGCTGGGGAGATAGCTCAGAAGAATAAACGCTTCCCTGGCAAATGCAAGGGTCTGAGTTCAATGCCCGGTTCCGCAAAAAATAAAAAAAAAAATTAAGCGGGGCCTACATTATTACTTACAGATGAAAGCATGAACAAGAACAGAGGGAAAAGTACCAGTGCCAGTACTACACTGTTGCGGCTTTGCCACTAACAAGCGTTACCACGGCCTGAATTCATACCAGAGGCTGCTGTTAGCAGGCGTGTACAGGTGGATCCTGTCACTTGTCATTTGCTGACTCAGAGACAGTATAAGAGCAGTAAAGTACACTGAAAAAGCAGAAAAATGAAATTATTAATTAATAATTTTTAGAAATCCAATTTATTTTGAATTTATAGATTAAAAAGGTCAAAAGTAACCTACTTCAGTAGATGATGATATAAAAGAAATTCAATTCATCAATTTCAAGAGATAGTCTTATTTCTCAAAAATACAAGCACTGAGGACCTTTTGAGCTACTCACCATCTTATCATTAGAACTGAGAACCTAGACCACCTTTTAAGAAATTAAATTACTTAAGGTCCCCAAAGTACTTTTATTAATATTCTCATAACAAAATATATTGTAAATTATGAAAGGATGTAAAATAGTATTTATTACTGAGAGGTCATACCAGTTGAATATGTTTATTGCCAAATATAATGTAAAACAGCTAAAAATTAACTAATGTAAAACAAATCAAAATTTATCGTTGATGCTGAGGATTGAACTCAGGGCCTTAAACTCGGAAAGATTATTTAAATGAACCTCTGATAAAAAAATTAACTATCAAAATTATGCCTTCCATGTTTTTAATTATAAATTCACTAAACTTCTATAAAGAATATAATATAAAACTAATACAAAACTTAAGAATAAAAATCATATTTCCTGGTTCAGAATTACAGTAAACTTATACATGACTTACAAAAAGATGCTAAAGCTGTTGGGTCCAAGGCAAAAATATTTCGGATTGCTACTGATGTCTTAGCAAAGTCAATTCTAGAAAACAGAAAAGCTTCTTATTAGGGGTAGTTGTAAATTCTGTCACACTCACTCACATTTCTGACTCTAATTCTTTATTCTGCTGCTCCCACAGATTATGACAGCAGTGGCTTACAACATTTCTGGGACCAGGGACTGATTTTGCTAAAGACAAATTACTACAGCTGGAGGGAAGAAAGGTGCACGGCTCCACCTCAGATCTTCAGGCACTCAATTCTCATAAGGAAAACGAAGCCCAGGCCTCTCCCCACTTCCTCCCCCTGCACAGGTCACACAGGGTCTTCGCTGCTCCTGGAGACCTAACTCTATGCCACTCACAGGACAGGAAGTGATGTGAGTGACAGGGAGTGGCCCAGACCAGCATAGGTCATGGCCCAGGTAGGGGGGATTCTTTATATCACAAGTCTTTACAGCTATGATTTACACCTTGATACGGTTTATCCCTGCATGCAAATGACTACCTTGCTTATAAAGACCATATAATGTTATCTAACTAGAGGACTCTATTAGGTTACTACATTGGAATTAGGACACCCTGAGAAAACAAATTAAACCTGATCTACAAAATCCATTTGCTCCTTCTTTTTTCTATTACCCATATCATGAAGCAAGAAAATTTTTTTTGTTTGTATTTTTTTTGTTGTTGTTGTTTTTTATTTTGGTACAGGGCCTCACTGTGCAGCTTAGACTCATAGTGATCATCCTGCTTTCAGCCTTGCCAGGGCTGGGATTACAGCCGTGCACCAACACACCAGGTCTCGATGGCTAGCTCAGTGCACCTGGGGTTGGGGCTGGGACCATCTCAGCATGTAGTGGCTGGGATTGAACCCTGTTCCCTGCACTTGCCTAAGCAGGTGCTTAGTCTGCTGAGCTATCTCGCTGGGTCTTTTTTTTTTTTTTTTTTCTTTTAAGGGTTGAACTGTACTATCTCCCTCAAAATATACTGAAGTTATAACCTTTGGTATATGTAAACATGACCTCACTTAAAATGTGATGTTTTGGCTGGGGAGATAGCTCAGCAGTCTAAGCACCTGCCTTGTGAGAGCAAAGACCTGGGTTTGATTCCCAGTACTACATGTCTCACTGAAACTGGCCATGGTGGCACATACCTATAATCTTAGCACTGAAAAGGCTGAGACAGGAGGGTCACTACAAGTCTGAGCTGCACAGGGAGACCCTGTACCAAATAAACAAACGAAAGAAAGAAAGAAAGAAAGAAAGAAAGAAAGAAAGAAAGAAAGAAAGAAAGAAAGACCCATGGTTTTTGGAGATGTAACTAAGTTAGGAAAGGTCACCTTAATGCAAAGACTGAAATGAAATCATATTAAAAGCAATATTAATAATCTGAAATTCTATTTGAAAATAGTCAAGTTAGTGACATGTCTTAGCATTTTCTCCTGAGGAAAATTAGAAGAATCTGCATGCACAAGTCTTACCTGTCAAAAGCTGAAACTGTACTTAGAGCCAAAAGCAAGTACAGGAGACTCTGGAATGGATATGCTAAGGTCTTGTATTGCTGCAGTAGGTTGGAGACATTCAGGGGCTGCTCTCCTGCTAGAGCATAGATCACAACAACATTCCAAACCGCACAGCCCGCCAGGAAGCCGTGAGAGAAGAGACCAATCATCCTGCATGGATGACAGTTAACTGCCAGAAATGAGTTACTAGAGTAAAAGGATAAACAATTTTTAAAACCTCTTCACATAGAACAATAAAATCTAATGTGAGGAAAGATGAGAAGAACCTTGTTTCCCCACAGCTTAGGGTCACACAGGCTCCGCAAGTGCTCTCCATGGATGGCCTCCCAGCACAAAACCTTTTCTTTTTACTCATGCTGATAGGCAGGTCATTTAACTTCAATGCAATGTTTTAAAAATATACCTACATGCCATTTTTAGTTTTAATTTTGGTAACAGTATTGAATGACCAGGACATTTTAAAATTTTAAATTGTGAAACCCAGTGAGGCTGTCACCTGAAAGCTCGGTGCACGGAAAGTGCCACATCTCTGGTGGTCCAGGATGGCTTCATGTCCACGGTCACGTCTATGTTTTCTGTGGTCTTTATCAATTCTGAACGATCAGCAGCCTGGAATCGCCCTAAGAAGGCATAATATATGCAATTACCAGCAAAGAGCAACAGGGAAACCATTGGGCTGGCCAAATAGCTCAGTGAATTAAAGTGCCTGCTTAGGCAGATGCAGGGGCCAGGAGTTTGATCCCTTGTGTGCCATGCCAGGTCCTGCCCCCGGAGTACACCGAGACAGTGATTGAGACTGGGTGTGGTGGCTCATGTCTGTAATCCCAGCACTTGGGAGGCTGAAAACAGGAGGATCACTATGAGTCCAATCTATGCAGTGAGCCCTGTAGACCCTATCCTAAAATACAAACAAAATAAAACAAAAAAACAGGGAAACCATTAATCCACACTTAAGAAGTCTCAGCTAAGAAAGTTTGCTGTTTTTCTATTTAAAAACTCAACTCAGTGCTTTTTGTGTTGCTTAAACACACTCTTTCATCATCTTTTAAAAATATAAGCATTGTTAAGGCATTGTCTTCTCAGCTAAAATTGATGCTAAAGTAACATGTTTAGAAATTTATGAAATATAATAATGAATGTTCAACTCAACTTTTTTTTTTGTAGTTTAGGGAGGGGTCTACAGGGTGTTAAGAGTCTCACTACTCGATCGGACTTGTAGTGATCCGCCTGTTTACAGCCTCCCAAGAGCTGGGATTACAGGCGTGCGCCACCACAACCAGTTTCAATTGCCGACTCAGCACACTGTGGGGTGGGGCTGACACAGGCCTGGGGATTGAACCTCTGGCCCCTGTGCCTCCTTGCAGGTGCTTTAATTCGCTGGGCCATTTGGCCGACCCTCAACTCAACTTTTAACATGACACAGTCTACAAAATTCTAATTTAGACTTTTTTGTGGTACTAGAGATTGACCCAGGTTCTTCACACAGACATACACCCTAGTCCTTTTTATTTTGAGACAGTGTCTCGCTAAATTGCCTTGGCAGGACTCAAACTTATGATTTTGATTCTTCTGCCTCAGTCTCCCAAGTGCTGGGATTACAGTTATGTGCCACCATACCCAGCCAGAGACTTTAGAAGTATAATGGTGCAAATGCCTCTAGCTTTCTGTATTGAGAGCAAAGAAATGTGGTGTTTCATAAACTTGTATTAAGATTCCCCAAAAGTTATCAGCTTAAGTGTCAGCACTTGAGCTCATGTCAACATCGACTAGAAATCCAGGGACTCTCTGGAAACAAGAAAGGTCCCCACAACCTCACCAAACCCAGCTGGCAGGTGTGTTGGAGAATGAACAAATCTTTTTTTTCCTGAAACACCTTAACAGACAACAAACCACTGTCTCATTTTATTGTTATTACTTGAGTAGCAAAATTTGTGTTGAGAAGAAGAAAATGAAGACTGTCTGATATTGCTTGAAAAGAGACTGGACTACATACAATGGGCAGGTGGCATGCTGCTCAAAGCACTGCATGAGAAAACTATGAAACACAGTGCAAGTCCTAGATCTGCATTGACCAACTGTGAGTTGGGCGGGGTCAGCAGGCTCTCTAACCACAGGACCCTTCTAACTGGGAGAGAATTCCATGATCCCTGAGATAGGACCTTAGAGAAACAGAATTCTAAAACCATTTACACAAGATAGAAATTGTTGATTTTAAGGACTAATATGTTTTAGAGTTTTTTAGGCAATATATCCATAGTATATCTCCTGGGGGAGAACAAAAGCTGATCATGCTTTGTACAGATTTTTCTTAAAACACTGTGTGGTGGCCTGAACGTGTCTCCCAAAACTCCTATGGTAAAGCTCTAATCCCCAGTTTGATGCTGTTTGGAGGTGTTACACCTGAAAGCTAATTCAGTTTACACAATGTCAAAAGGGTAGAGCTCCCTGATTGGAATAGCGTCTTTTTTTTTTTTTAAAGGGATGAGACACCAGCACACTCTGCCATCTGAAGATATAGGAAGACAGTGCCCATTTGTAAGCCCAGAAGGAACTATCACTAAGAACCAAGGTCTACCAGCACCATCTTGACTTCTCAGCTTCTAGAATTGAGAGAAACGAAGGTATTGTTGAAGCAGTCTATGATATTTTTTGTAGCAGCCTGAGCTAAAGTAACTTGCAAGTTCAATTTATAACCAGTATATGCTGCACATCAGAAACATTTTCCTATATAGCTACCATGCTGTGTTTCTTACTTAATATGGTAGTCTCAGGGGCCAGGGAGATGGCTCAGTAGAATAAGTGTGTCCCTGGCAAGCGCAAGGGCCTGAGTTCAATCCCCAGTTCCGCAAAAAAAAAAAAAAAAAAAAAAAAAATTAGTAGTCCCAACATGTATTTTCTCTCTCTCTTTTTTTTTTTTTAATTTAGTGCAGGGTCTACAGGGTCTCACTATACAGATTGGACCTGTAGTGATTCTCCTGTTTTCGGCTTCCCAAGCGCTGGGGTTATAGGTGCATGCCACCTTGCCCAGTCTCAACCACCCTCTCAGGGTGCCCTGGGGGTAGGGCCAGCACAGCAGGCTGGGGATCAAACCTCCAAGCCCTGTATCTGCCTAAGCAGGCACTTTAATCTGCTGAGCTATCTGGCCAGCCCTTCCTCTTTCACTTTTACTTGCAGCATTTGTATCACTACCTGGCTACTATCACAGCTACTACCAACTGCCCAAAACTGGACAAATACAACAAAATATTAGGAAATGGGAGGAGATGGGGTAAGATTTTTTTTTTTTTGGCGGCTCCACATTGACCTCCAGCAGCGCTCGTCTGGGTTGCCTTGAGTATCTGGGAATGGAACCACCACTCCCAGAGACTGACTGCCTCCTTTAAGCAGGCACTTAAACAACTGAGCTAATGGGCGGGCCCCCTGGGGTAAGATTTTTAAAATCACTCACAATCCCAAACCCAGAATCAACCAGCATTATTATTTTCTTATTTCTTTTGAGTCTTTTGTTCTTTGCATTTTTTAAATTTTTAATTTTTTTTTTTTTTTTCTTTGCGGAACCAGGGATTGAACTCAGGCCCTTGTGCTTGCCAGGGAAGCACTTATTCTACTGAGCCATCTCCCTGGCCTGCATTTTTTTATAGGCGAGATCTAACTGTATTTCATTTTTCCTTACACTCTTCCCATGAAATGAAAAATTCTCCCTACATATTTAACAGTGCAGAATATTATACAGACAAGCCACAGATTTCTGAAATCATTCTCCTCTTGTTTTACCTTTACGTTTCCAGTTTCTCACCCTACAAATAAAAAGTATGATGACTAGTTGGTTTATATGTTTTTGTCCATGTTTTTAATTATTTCATTAATTTGGATATCCTGTGTACCTTATAAAGAGATTGTTTTTCCAAAGCAAGATACTACTTACGACTTTTTTCTACAAATACTTTGCCTACAGGCTGGCTAATTCCAGTGGGTGCAGTGAATCTACACTGTTGTTCCGGAACTCTTTGCTCATCAGTAATTATGTCTTCATCTTCTACTCCTAGCTCATTGGCATACTGTAGCTGTGCTTGCTTGGTCTTCCTGTAATGAGGGAAAATTAGGAAAAATGGATAATTCTTGCGGTTTCATGCACCCACATAAGAAACTGCCCATGAGTGTATTATGGTTGTGGAATCAAGCACTGGGCTGGCTGAAGTGGACCTACTAACTGTTCTGTAAGCCAAGTTGCCTGGACCTCAGTGGGCCTCAGTTTTCTCATTTGGAAAATGCAGTGACTCAACAAGATCTGCCCAGACTTAAATTATATGATTATATAAACTGATCACTGTTCACAGGGTCATTTTCACATACAAACAATGTCAATAAGTTTATGAGATAGTATCTCTTAAAGTATGCCATTCTATCTTATTTGAGACTTACCTTCCTAGACTAAAACAGTTTTACTTATTGTTGAACTAGTTGTAATTCAAATTCTGCTAACATGAAGAAATAAATCAGAGCAGCCTATTTTATTGTCTTCAATTTTTAAATCTCTATTGCTAAGTCTAATTTTTTGCTTCTTACCTAAAATTTTTCATTGTTTTGTTCTTTTTTAAAAAATGTATTTAGTACAGTGTCTACAGGGTTTCACTACATAGATTGGACTTGTAGTGATCCTCCTGTATACAGCCTCCCAAGCACTGGGATTACAGCTATGCATCACCATGCCCAGTCTCAATCGCTATCTCAGCATGCCCTGGGGATGGAGCCAGCACCCCAGGCTTGGGGATGGAACCCCCGGCTCTAGCATCTGCCTAAGCAGGCATTTTAATCCACTGAGCTATCTGGCCGGCCCCTGTTTTGTTCTTTTTAGAGATGGCTCTTTAGGTTTTAACTTTATATACCACGTTAATTTTTTTAAGAATTCTGTGGATTTTACTCTTTTCAAATATACTATGGGATGGGCTTATCTGTATTTTGGAATAGTACTTGTCCTAGACACAGACACAGTATCTTATAAAACCTGTTGAGAAGCTACATTTGGGAGCTCTGAGGTAAACACCTAAGCAACCCTGGAGAATATTTAGAAGAATAAATTATTACCTTGCCTTCCTTCGAGGTTTTTGAGTAACTGCCTCCTCAGCTGGGTCCACATTAATACCATTTTCATTTTGTAATAAAGATGGACTAGAGGTCTTCTTTTGAGTAAAGGAAGTCTCACGCTCTGAAAATAAAACAAATTATGTTTTCAAATGACTGTAAGATAGATAAAAGTAATATATAGGACTTTTATAAGGCAAGAGATCATAGAAGTTTTAACAAGGCCAAAATGTTTCACTATCTTACAAATTTCTAGTTTTTAAAATTTCATACAGTTAAACTCTCAATAAGTAATTTGAAATCGCAAGGCCAAACAATATATAAAGGGTTAATAAAAGGTAATGCAGGGTTGGATTACCTCCAGATTTAACGACTTGCTAGAAGGATGCACAGGACTCAAAAGAAATTACACTCAAGGTTACTTTATTATATCAAGAAGATATAAGGCAAAAATCAGCAAAAGAAAAAGTCGATGGATCAAATTCGAGGCTGGTCTCAATCTTGGACCCTCCTGTTTCAGCCTCTTAAGTAGCTGGCATTAAAGGAGCATGCACTATGGCAGAGTGATAGTGCAAACTCCAGATGAAACCAGGTACATGTCCAACACCCCCTCAGTGCAAGCGAGCAGGAAGAGCATATTCTGACACACAGAGTCAAGCTCTCTACCTAGGAAGCTCATTAGAGACTCAGCACCCAAAGTTTTTGTTAGAGGGTAATCACGTAGGCCTATGTACAGACCAAAATTTCAGATTCCCAGAGTGGAAGCAAGTACTGAACATAAACCACATTGCACAAATGCAAGTGAGCTCCCAGTATAATTTTGGGGAAGTTTCCTATCCATGTAGGGAACTACTTACCATCTTAAGTTTCCAAATGCTACTTAAAAGCCTTTGTAGGAACAGCAGTCATATACCTCGCTGGGTCATACAAAGGTCAGGCAGAGAGTGTAAACAGGTCAACAGGGCCTTCCCACTTTCCCTACCTTCCTAGAAGCTCTGGCTCCCCACAATGCCTCAACCCCTTCAGCCCCTTCAAATCCTATTTAAATAAAATACACCCTGGGTTGGAAAGACAAACATAAAGAACAAAGCCTAACATGTTCTGAACAAAACAGAACAAAAACTCACAAACTTTAAATTCTAAAATACAGAAAGCTAGACTGGCAAGGCTGGAGTGGCAGTGAGAGGTGCTCATTGCCTAAGCTTAGTTAGGTCCTGAGTTTTCTACAAATGGTCACCTCTGTTGCACATACTTTTCATGAATTATAAAACTAGATCTTAGTGTCCATCTCAATTTTCAATTTGTACTCTAATGGGTAGTCTAATGGATCACTAAGAGGGTAGTTTCATTAAACTACATTTCATGCCAGTGATGTAATCAATCGCTTCATTTCAAGGAGGCAGAGCATGTCACTGAACGATTCCCGTCTCTTCTTCTTTCTGCCTCTGCCACTCTTGCCTCCTCTTCACACTCAGGCCAGGCACCAGGGGAACCCACTGCCCCGTGTCCCTGTGTGGAACTCTCCAACTTCTCTTGTTGAAGTCCCTCTACTACTATAATTCCTCCATCCAATCACGGCCAGCTGTTTTTCAAAAGGACAAATAATTAGGAAAAGTAATTTGCAAAAATTATTCAATGATGTTATAAAGATAACTAATCTGACAGTCTAACTTTTATCTTTTTATAATTATTATGAAAGTTATACATGCTGTACATGAAGAATAAATAAAACAAAAATGAATAAAGATTTTTTTTTTTGCTCCGAATGCCCTCAGGACAACAAAAATGAAGTAAATAAAAATCACCCTGCCTGAGGGCCGGGGAGATGGCTCAGTAGAATAAGCGTTTCCCTGGCAAGCACAAGGGCCTGAGTTCAATCCCCAGTTCCGCCAAAAAACAAAACAAAACAAAACAAAACAAAAAAACCACCTATCATTGAAGCAAGGTGTGGCGGTGCATGCCAGTAATCCCAGCACTTGGGAGACTGAGGCAGGAGGATCACCATGAGTTTGAGGCCAGCCTGAACTACATAGTGAGACCCTTTTTCAAAAACAAAACAACAACAAAAGCCTGTCACTGCTACTAGTGCTACACACTTCCTCTCCTCTCACTGTGTGTACATGTAAACACTCTTCCATGGCTCCGCCAGACACACTCAGGTTGTGTGCTTCACCACTAGGTTTAATCCACTGAAGTTGACACATCAGGGTTAACAGCCCGTTTCCACTCATTAGATAAATCATACTATTAGGAGTTGGCATTTACCTGTTTCTATTCTTGTAAATAATATTGTGGCGTATGTCATTTAATTATCATAGGTATTTCTATTTCTAGAAACCTGAATAGGCTGTGTCAGTTCGTGTTTTATCAGTGTATGAGTATACTCAGTCCCATCAACACTGACACTGGCAATTAGATAAACAACAACAAAAAAAGACACAATATTTTGTTTACCTTGTGAACAGTGCCTGGACACAGAAAATTCCATAAATATTGGCTACTATTTCCTTATAATATTGTCAATACTTTTCTCTACTAATCTGAAATGTTTATTTCATTTTTCTTTAAATTTATTTATTTATTTATTTATTGTGTGCGGCCAGCTCAGTCCACCAGGGGGCGGGGCTGGCTGGCGTGTGGTGCTGGGGGATTGAACCATGGTCCTTGTGTTTTGCTTAGCTTAGCTTGTTCTAAGTAGGTGCTTTAGACCACTGAGCCATCTCACCAGCCCCTGAAATGTTTATTTCATCACTAACTAAATTCTTATATACTCTGTGATCTGATCTCAATGTTCTAGTCCTTCTTCTCATAAACTACACAAATGACCAAAGGAGACATGGAAACACTCCTGATGAAAGGCCAGAGAAACCACATATGGGAAATGAGGGGAAAATGAGAGCCAACAGGTTTTTATCACATCCCCACTTCACAGATGGATCATAAAGCTAAGTGGTTTCTTCACATACCAAGAGGTGGCCGTGGTTTCTTCTGCCTCCTTTGAACGGGAGCTTCTGAATCCTCTTTGAGCGCTGCAGTTGGTGGCTCATTGCCCTCAGATGGCCTATGAAGAACAGGCTCAGCAAGGCCCTCTGAAGAGGCACTAGCTGCAGAAAACCAGAGAAGAAAAGCCTGGGGTGATGTGAGTAGAGATCTATGAGCCTTTAAAAAGGGTGAAAGAGGTGGATATGGTGGTGCATGCCTATAATCTCAGCACTCAAGAGGCTGAGGCAGGAGAATCACGAGTTCAAAGCAGCCAGGACTATATAGTGAGACCCTGTCTCAAAAAACTAAAAAAGAGGGCCAGGCAAATAGCTCAGTGGACTAAAGTGCCTGTTTAGACAGGTGCAGGAACTGGGGTTTGATCCCTGGTGTGCCTGCCGGCCTGCTGCCAGAGCACACTAAAATGGCAACTGAGACTGGAGACTAGGTGTGATGGTGTGCACCTATAATCCCAGTGGTTGGGAGGCTGAAAGCAGGAGGATCAGTACAAGTGCTATCTGTGTAGTGAGACCCTGTAGTCCCTGTCCTACAAAAAAAAAAAAAAAAGGAGAAAATCTAGAATGTATAAAGAAATAAAAAAGGGGCTGGTGAGATGGCTCAGTGGTCCAAAGCACCTACTTAGAACAAGCTTAGCAAAGCACAGGGACCATGGTTCAATCCCCCAGCACCACATGCCAGGCAGCGCCGCCCCCCTGGTGGGCTGAGCTGGCCACACACACACACACGCACACACACACACATAAATAAATTTAAATAATAATAATAATAATAATTTTTAAAAAAAGAACTAAAAAAAATCAGACCCCTCAAATTTAAAGACCCAATCCAAAGATGGTCATCTGAAAAGAATAATACTTCTCAGATGAAGAAGTAGAAATGACAAATAAGTATATGAAAAATGTTCACCATCACTGGCCATTCGAGAAATGAAATTAAAAATTAAAAATACTGAGATTCCACTGCTCCTCAGAAAGAATGGACATTATCAAGAAGTCAACAACAAATGCTAGCAAGGCTGTGGGAAAAAAAACGAACTGTTAGCCACTGTTGGTGGGCATGCAGACTAGTGCAACTACTGTGGAAATCAGTACCGAGATTCCTCAAAACCCTAGGACTACAGGCTCTATTCGACCAGTTATTCTTCTTTTTGATATCTTCCCAAAAGAATTATATCACAGCGATACATACACACCTATGTTTATAGCAATAGCTTGTAATAGATCTTAGAAAGAGCCCAAATGCCCATCAACTGAAGAATGGACAAAAGAGATGTGGGGTTTTTTTTTTTTTTTAATTTTTTTAAACATTTATTTATTTATTAGTGTGTGTGTGTGTGTGCGTGTGGCCAGCTCAGCCCACCTGGGGGCGGGGCTGGCTGGCATGTGGTGCTGGGGGATCGAACCGCGGTCCCTGTGCTTTGCCAAGCTTGTTCCTAGTAGGTGCTTTAGACCACTGAGCCATCTCACCAGCCCGTGGGTTTTTTATACAATGGAGTACTACTCTGTCATGAAGAAAGATAATCTTGAGACATTTTTAGCTAAATGGATGTACCTTGAGACATACTCTTAAGTAAAATAAACCAGACACACATGTATAAATATCATATTGCTTCTCCTGTATGAGATATTCAAAGTGTAAATAAGGACCAAACATATTGTGAAATAGGAAGAAAATGTTCAAATGGGAAGGGGAATTAGAGATGGTGGTGGGGGAAAGTAAGGAAGGGAAAATAAAAATGGTAAGAAGAAAAAATGGAAACAAAGCTTTTGTAAAGAAGAAGAAGGGGGTTGAAGGGAAGGTACAGGAGTAGGGGAAAAGCAAGATGTTTCATTAACAGGTACAAATACCCCATGATTGATGTGATCATTATGCACACCGAAAATGTACCAATGAACAATTAAAAATAAAAATAAAGGGCCGGGGATATAGCTCAGCAGCACAGTGCTTATTTGGCAAGCACAAGGTTCTGAATTTGAGCCTCAGTATGCCCCCCAAAAGAATCTCTCAATAATAAAATTAAAAATAAACAACAACAAAAATGGGAAAAGGCACCAGAATGGCAGACATTAAGGAAGTTCCAGGTAGAAAAAAGTATGTGAGGAGAGGCAAGGAATCACAAGTACACAGTACATATTAAAAAAAAGAGAAAAACACATAAAAATATAGAGAGGAGCAAGTGAGTACACATAGAACACGATCCCTGTTTGGAAAGAAAAAGAGAGCACCACTACAGAAACTTTAGGCTTGAGAGGGTACAAGGAAAGAGTGACAGTTAGAGGTGCCACAGATGCCTGTGGTGAAGTCGAAGAGGAAAGTGGCAGTGCTAGTTAATAGACTATCACTGTAAATGAGAAGTAAAGCCTAGTGAATTGTTGGCGGTGATGCTGGATTGTGGATGTGTTCAGTTAGTTACTAACAGAACAAATAGAACATGAAGGATATATTTCCTAGTGGAAAAGTAGGACAAGAGGAATTTAGAGACCAGCTTGTTACTGCAGCTTTAACACAGGGATGCAGTGGTCGCGCCTCCGGGTCTCTGCTCTAATCCAGTCTCTGGCTGATTGAGGGATTAAGGATTCCAGGTCGCCAAGCACAGCTTAAAACAATTTATGCTGCCTACAGAATGATCTTAAGAGTCCAAGAGCATTGAGGACATCAGCGCTTGAGTGGCACAACACTACACCCCATGACCGCTGCTAGATATTCTCCTGTCTGCAATGGCCTTGCCCCACCCTCACTGTGCTTCAGCCTGGCTTTCTGCCCTCAGGACAGCAACGACCTGGGAGCCTTGTCTCTGACCTATAATGTGCATCATGTCTGGGATCCTGGGAAAACCTACTGTTCTACACAACAAAGGAGAAGCTCTTACCTCTCAAGTTTTTTGATCTAGACCTCTTTTTCTTAGGATGACTAAGTAGAATATCATCTATAAAACAGAAAGAATATTAAAAGAAAAATCTGTCTAAAATTCAATGCAAAGAACAATTATTCTTTTTTTTTTTTTTTTTTTTTGGTACCAGGGATTGAACTCAGGACCTTGTATTTGCTAGGCAGGTGCTTATGCTGCTGAGCTATCTCCCCGGCCCTTACAGAGAACAGTGGGGAAAAGAATCTTTTTTTTTCTCTTTCTTGGATTCAGCCAGCTTCTACGTTTCAAAGAAAGTCAAACACTGACACGGTCAAAGACACCCCACAGTGTCGTATCAGTGGTGCACTGGTAGTCATGTTTATAACAATGACACATTGTCACAATCCCCTATGCTTCCTAGTCCCTGTCCTGCATCCTGGGATGGCCTATGACTGGTTTTAGGTACTAGGCTGTGAAGAGAAGCGATCCACATCTGTCAAGGGTCATGCCACCCTCCAGGCACTGGACTTTGTCTGACTTCAGGAGCTAAGCAGGGTGGGGTCTGGTTAGTATTTCAGGGGAAAACTGATCTATGTCCTTTGGGAGGCCAAAATGCAGAGCAAGCTAGCTCTGCTACGGCAACAGAAGTTTCACATTAAGCTTGCAGAGCCGTAAGACAGGTAGCCTGGACTCATTCCATCATTGCATTATTAATGGACTTTGCATTTAACCTAACATTATTTGTAACAGTCCTGCATGATATGAAGTCACTAAGATTTTAGAATGGCTAGTATAGCACAGCCTTGCCTATCCTGAATAATTAAAACAAAAAGTTGGGCATGGTGGCACACACCTATAATTCCAGAACTCAGAGGCTGAGGCAGGAGGATTCGTGAATTTGAGGTCGGTTTGGGCTACACAGTGAGTTCAAGGTCAGCTGGAACTGCATAGTGAGACCTTGTCCCCAAAACAACAACAACAATAAAAAAAGAAAGAAAAATGAAGGTACAGTTTGATTTACAGAGCTATAAACCAATCAATGGTCTAGTTCACTCCACTCAGGGATGAAGAGCCTTTCTAATGGTAAAGCAATCTAGAGTTACGCATCATTCCCGATTTAACACATAAATACTGTGGTACTATAAATTATACTATTCAGATTCAATTTTAAGAGACATAAACTATGGAATCAAACTTATTTTTAGTTTTTTTTGGGGGGTTGGTTTTCAGTGACTTACCTTAAGTAGCTGTGACTACAGGCACACACCACTGTGCCTAGCTTTCAAAATTGTTTTTCAATGTCAAGTACTATATTTAGTAAATTTTACATCAACAATAAGCTAACTTACCTTTAACACCACTTCACACAACACCAAATTTAATCAGCAAGAAAGAGACAAAAAAAGGAAAGTATTAATTAGAAAACTATTTCATTGTCTAACTAAAAACTGACTTGAATCATTATAAATCTAAAATAAAACTTTCAGAGAATGTCAGCTAGTTTACAAGCTAGCCTATTACAATAAGCTGTTTAACAGCAATAATAAAACAACTCTGTTACTCTTCTGAACATATACATATGTCTTACTGTCTATTAATAAAGTAGACTTAGCAGATGAAGAACACTTATTGTCACTGATTATATCAGCTCACTGAGGAAACTACTTGAGCAAGCAAAAGACAAATTCTGACAGGCAAGACACTAAAACATGCAAAATGGATCCATTACTCTCATCTTGGCAATCAGGCTTTTTTTTTTTTTGATTTTTTTTTAAATTTTATTCATTTATTTTGCATTTATTTGTGTGTGTGTGTGTGTGTGGCCAGCTCAGCCCACCAGGGGGCGGGGCTGGCTGGCATGTGGTGCTGGAGGATTGAACGGCCGTCCCTGTGCTTTTGCCAAGCTTGTTCCAAGTAGGTGCTTTAGACCACTGAGCCATCTCTCCAGCCCCCGGCAATCAGGCTCTTAAACAGAACATGTAATGATACATTTAGCCTTATGTTTTAAACATTTTTTGTTGTCGTTCAAAGAATTTTTCTGTATGTTATTAGTCAACTTTTCCAGCTTACTCATTTCCATTTGCTTATTTTTTAGTGACCCTACTCAAATTTTCTGGCTTACTCATTTAATATTTACAAAGTTCAACGAGGCTACTGTAAATTACGCTTACCTTGGTATAGGCGGAAGAGCTCGTGGAGGGCACTAGGTGAAAAAGAGAAAACTGCTTGTTAAAGAAAAGCCAAGATCTAAAACATCTTACCTTCATGTGTGTCAAATACAAAATTCTTCAAAAGCCTGTTGTTCAGACATGACAGAAAAATATAATGGATCAAATATGTATATTCAAATCTTTTGATAATCATATTAATCACTGAAACCTGAGAGATAATATAAATCAGATGGATGAAGTGTATCATATACAATTTTTTCCATTTTTTGAAAAATTTAAAAATTCACCTTTTTTTTTTTTTTCTTTCTTTTCTAGATGGGGTTTTGCTATGCAGTTCAGGCTGGCCTTGAACTCACTTTGTAGCCCAGGCTAGCCTCAAACTCCAAGAGATCTTCCTGCTTCAGTCTCCCTAGTGCTGGCATTACGGACACTCATGTAAGCAATAGGAATAGGGAGGAAACTAAGGTCCTGGCTTTTATGGAACTTATGTTCTATTGGTTATGTATTAGAAAATGATGTTAGAAGTACGGTAAAAATAGGACTGGGGAGATAGCTCAGTGGAATAAGTGCTTGCCTGGCAAGTGCAAGGTCCTGAGTTTGATCCCTGATACCACCAAAAAAATACGTTAAAATACATTTTTTTTTTTTTTCAGAACCGGGGATTGAACTCAGATCCTTGCGTTTGCCAGTCAAGTGCTTATCTTACTGAGCCATCTCCCCGGCCCCTAAAATACATATTTATACATGAAAATAAATATATAGATGATAAAGAGGCGTGCTACTTTACTTAGGAAATAAATTTGTTTGAGACTTTAAAGCTGAGACCTGGCTGAGCAACAAGACAGCTGCAGGCAGCAGGGAGCAAATGCCCGCCGGGAGGAGCAGGGCGGCAGCGCTCTGGGTGACCAG